AGCAACTTTCGCAGTGGTCGGTCATTGGATTGGTGACCAAACATTTACTATCTCGAGCTCCTCCGTGCTTCGGAAGGCACGTTAAGCCGTTGGTCCCGGCTGCATCTGCAGTCGTTAGCACCCGCCAATCCGCACTGGGCCCGCGTTGTGGGTCATAGCCCAATCTCCCTATTCCATCCATAGGGAAGGCCTGTACCCCAGCAGTGGGGATATTAATAGGATGATGATGAATGATGAAACAGAAGTTAGAAATAAGAATGGAACAATCTCAGATTACAGAACAAAAAGCAGATAGCATGGTACACACAATGCGTGCCACCAAAGCGAATACGAAGTCAAAAAAGGAAATGCTTTTTTGGCCTTTGTGAACAGTTTTTACAATGTATAAATTAGGCAGTACAGTTTTGATAAATCTTAATATTCACTGGACGTATTCACAACACGATTCGTTGTGATGTACCCACGCGAATTGATATTTGCTTTTGATTTCGTATTTGCTATGGTGCCACGCATTGCCTGTTCCGTGCGCTCAATCTGCCTTTTGTTCTGTAATTTGGGGGAAAAACATAAATAATCACATTAATATTATAAAGGCGAAAGTTTGTGAGTATGTGAGTATGTATGTTTGTTACTTCTTCACGTCTAAACGGCTGGATCGATTTTAATAAAATTTGGTATGGAGTTAGCTGACACCCTAGATTCACACATAGGCTACTTTTATCCCAAAAAATGTTAGGTTCCAGAGGGATTTTCAAGAAACTCAGTTAACGCAGACGAAGTCGCGGGCGACCTCTAGTTTTATATATAGCTGACATAACTAGCTGACCAACGGAGTGCCGTAGTCTTTTTTGTTTTAATCTAAGGCTTAATAGGATTTTAATGTATTTTTGTTGGACTCACAACGTCTCTCAAGTCCGCTAGTTCTATGTAGTTCTACATAATAATTATGCAACTTGAGTCATGTATATTCTTTTGTATAATAATTATCTTAATGCCGTCAAGGTGAACACACGTCAGCAAGAAGGTCACAGCTCAGCCAATTCCCACGTTTTGCTTTGTTTTTTATATAAATAAAGAAGTTTATAACCTTTTGCAGGTAACTTAACACTCCTGTAACTGCCTCAGCTAGTATTGGAATTCTTGGCGTTGACATATCGAGCGACGTCCAGTTTCGGGATCATTTAGAGGGCAAGGCCAAATTGGCCTCTAAGAAGCTTGGTGTGCTCAATAGATCGAGAATGTACTTCACACCGGCCCAACGACTGCAAATTTATAAGGCACAGGTTCGGCCTCACATGGAGTACTGCTCTCATCTTTGGGCGAGGGCACCCCAGTACCAGCTTCTCCCTTTGGATCGCACCAAGGCCGAGCGGCTCGAATCGTCGACGACCAGGACCTTTCCGATCAGCTTGATCCTTTTTGGATTCGCGTAGGGATGTAGCTTCGCTCTGCATCTTCTATCGCATTTATCACGGAGAGTGTTCCGAGGAATTGTTCGGATTAATTCCAGCTGCTGCATTTCGCCATCGTACATCGCGACAAAAATTTCATGTTTTCCGCAACTCGACTGCAGGTTATTTGCGTGACAGCCTTAACTGTCACCAAATTCGAAAAAAGTGTAATGACCCAAAATGTTCCTTGGTTCAATACCGAAAAGCCTACTTTCATATTTTTGAAATTCGGCCCCGTTCTCGAGATATTGGAAATTTTCTGTGAAAACACACGACTTTTCGGTCGAAAATACTCGATTTTTTTTCGATATTCAAAAAAATATTTTTTTCTTTTCCTAAATATTTTTTAGATTTTCTTAAATCCCTTCGAATTCCGCGGCTTTTGATTTTTTTTTTGAGTGTGTATGCTGTTGGTCGCAGATGACCTTTACAGCGTCACCGGGTTTGGGGACGGCGAAATCCTAACCTAAGGGGACCTCAAGCCAAGAATTGGCGAGTGCTTCTAGAGGTATTCCAGGCGAATGGCGTCTCCCCACGGGGGGAGTCTCCTCTCCGTCTGGAGCCTCTAGACCACTCGAATCTGAGGCGGTCGGCTCAACTAGAGGGCGTCTCTGAGACTTCTTAGCCGTTGTCGTGGGGATGTCTTTTGAGCCCCCATTTGTCCTCGTGGCCCCTTACCTTCGGGTTAACACGGGCGGGCGCACTTTCAGCGAAAATGGACTTCCATTTACTGGAGCAAATGAAAAAACCATTCTCAATGTTCATAAAAACTCATCATTATCATCAACAGCCTATCCTAGTCCATTGCTGGACATAGGCCTCTCTAATTGCACGCCACTGAGGTCGATCTTGAGCTACTCGTATCCAGCTCCTGCCAGCCACCTTGCGCAAATCGTCACTCTATCGTACCTGAGGACGTCATACACTACGTTTGCCTAGACACGGTCTCCACTCCAGAACTCGTCTACCCCAACGGTTATCGGTTCTTCTTCAAATATGGCCAGCCCACTGCCACTTCAACTTGCTAATCCGGTGGGCTACGTCGATGACTCTGGTTCTCTGTCGGATTACCTCATTTCTGATGCGATCCTTCAGAGAAACGCCGAGCATAGCCCTTTCCATAGCGCGCTGAGCGACTTTGAACTTGTGGACACGCCGCGCCGTACCGTCAGTGTCCACGTCTCGGCTCCGAATGTCATCACATACATGAAAACTCGTTTGACTGAAATAAATACTGACTTCATAAACTCATTCTTATCCTTTATTTCAATCTAATGTACAATTAATTTTTTTGAATTGGTGTCATGCAAACAAATTGAGATAAGTAGATTTTATTGGCCGTTCACTACATATTTGGGTTAACTGGTAATGACCATTGAAGTATAAAAAGCCGTCTCCAAAAGTTTACACCTGATTTACTTATGCACTTAAGATTTAAATCTAACGAAAATGTTATGAAGAGAACCTTGCACTTACTCCCTTTCATATACTTGTTCATTTTGTTTTGAAAATTGTTTCTTGCTATTTCGGGACTTCTCTTTGCACTTATTGTTAGTAAATTCGTTGATTGTCTATTGTTACATATTTGTCATTATGTGATGGTAGTTGACCTCAACACATGTTTGCAAGTTTGATGTCAACTTTCAATTGGACGACACTGTATGAAATAAAACAGGGAGAAAAAAGCAGCCCTTGCTGAGTTTCTTGCCGGTTCTTCTCAGTACTTAGGTCTCCCGCCGTGGATTTGCGAACCGATGGCGTAGTTTTTCGACATTCACAAGTGCTTGTAACAGCCTAGACTGAATAAACGATATTGATTTTTTTTAATTTTTACTAGAAAAAATTCCACGTGGACCATGCAGCAGACGCACGGGACACGAACCCCATTATGCTACCGCGGCCCTGATGGCCGTGTCGAATTCTTCTTGGCCTTTCTTCGGCTGCAAGGCAGCGCCATCTCTTCGCATTGTAGATAACCCACAATGTCAAATAAATACCTTTGCAGATATAAAAACATTTGAAAGAAGTAAAAGCAATTATAGTTATTTTTTTTGTTTTTAAGTATCCCGTACCGTCTGCTGTCTAGCGGCCCGCGTGGATTTTTTTCTAGTAATATTTTCTTTAGATTTAAACATTGAGCGGAACATTTACATGCTTAAAAAACATGAAAATTATCACTCAAGATTTACTCTTTAGTGGTTTGATTCTTATAAAGTTCGTTTTTTATTTGTGTTCAAAACTAATAATGATGCGACATTTTTTTTTAACTGTGTACAGTTGCTATGCTCAAATTTAAAAAAAAACATTACACTCCCTTTATGGCCGTCGTAAAAAAGAGGATGCATAGAGATTTAAAACTACAAAACTTTAAAATTATGTGTTAGAAAAAAAAAACACTTAAAGATTTCAAATTAAAAAGGAATTCCTAAAAAAGCGACAGTCAATTGTTTGTGGTTTTTATTTCGCTATTAAATAGGTGTCTGACCTAGCCACTTACTAAAAATAAACAATAAATAAATTAAAAATAAGCAATGATATTTCTTCCTCTACCTGTTTTATTAGCTGACTTAGACCAAGTCTGTAACCTAGGCCATCTAAAAAACTTGTATCACGACCACAGCTGTAAACGATAGCTATTTCACACAAAGTAACTATAAAAACAAATCACCCGTATCCCGTTGAGATAGGGTTCAAAATGTGAATGTAAATGTTTATTCTAACTAACCGGTTGGATGGCCGGTATGCATGCCAGCGTACAATAGTGATGTGAAAGATAGCAAGAAAAAAATAACAACGTCGATAAAATGAAACAAACCCACACGTGGTGTTTTTGATAGTCGTTTGCTTTTATGAATATGGTTAAAATCACGATAAATTAAGAATACTAATTGGGTAAAACGAGGTGAAGAATAGAGGGGAAAGGGGGAATACAAAAATGGATAGGATGTTTTTAAACAACATGAAATTATGAGGGGTAAATAAACTATTAATAGGAATATGCTAAACTGAGAACTTAATGGAAGTGTTATTTTTTTCTAATATTTCTTAGAATGCATAATTTTCTTAATTGTTTATTCTCATATCAAAATATTATAGTAAGTACTTATTTTCCGTTATGTTATTAGTAATTTATGTCAATAATATTATGCAAAAGCAAACAGTATTAAATAAGTATGTTTCTTTTCTGGGTTGCAATATTTTAAATAGTTTGATTTGATGAAAATCAGTAAAATTATTGTGATTGTTTTCGATATTTCAACAAATATCTTTAAGTTAAGTTTCAGCTACAAGTATAGAGCAAAAAGGATTTATTTATATACAGCTGATATTAAATTTTTCGTGATTTTTTTTTAACTTCATTGACCGAAGAAAATGTCACTGTATCGTGTTTGACATATTTACGTTATGAAATCCCTAAGGCTTGTAAATTATTTAATACTCGATCTACGAAAAAAATCACTTAAGTTACGTAGGTATGCACTTGCATAAGCTACTTAGCTAATATACTGTGCACGTAGCTTATCGATAACTATAATTTGGCTGATGCATTCCTCTCCTTAGTGCAACCGAGGCAACTTCAGTACGTAGCCCGACCTCATGCGCGAGAGTCACGTCAACCTCGCCCGCGAACAAAATCAATTTAAAAAAGAAACCGTTAACAATTAAAATACCGGTAAACATCTGTGACACAACCTGTGCTCTTTGGTATTGGATTTCAAAGTGAGAAAAGCGAAAAACGAGTGCAAAGTCTGTGGCAATGGCGAAAATTCGCTAAACGTTCACCCCAAATGGTAAACAAAACACTATTTCCCAATCCCAAACATGGAGGACGTGTACACAATCAGAATAAAGACCAAGCCAGACACAAGAAACTTGTATCCATCTGAGAGGAGATACTCTGCGTCCACAGTGTCTGGTTTGGCATGGGTGCATATTGCTTTAGCCGCTACGTCATTCTTGTTAGCGTGTTTAGCTTTAGTGAACCCTACATTGAACGTCACAGAAAGCGTTAGCAATTCGACAGAGGCTTACGGCAACGATACAACGCAAGACAATACTACTGAAGTTCTAACAACACGCAACAATAGTTACATATTAGTCGTAGCGCCGTCATTGATTACAATATTCGGTTTGGCAGCTGGCATTACTTCTATTTTAGCTTCAGTGAGATGGTACATCGACCGTAATATCACTTTGTTGTTCGTAATGTCATGCTTATCGACACTTGTAGCTTTTTCGTCGCTTCTAATGATCACCGTGTGGTTTATAAACACAACAGAAGGTGATATAACAGAATTCTACAAGGACAAAATTCCCTTTAAAGACATACTCGTTATTAAGCACACTGACGTAATAGACAAAAACGATTCGCATTTAATAGTCGCTTTAAATCAAACTACAGAGGAGGGAGAAACGTCCAGTTTGTTCACTAAAAGAGTTCTATCTATAAACATTCTCATAGCAGCATTCCTAGAATTACTATGGTCTATTTTGAGCGTCAAGATATCGTATAAAGGCATGAGAAACAATTACAAAGACGATGGTGGCGGACGGCGAGGTAATTGCATATCAGTTGTTACAACAATTAAAGGCAATGACCCGAAAAATTTGCCGAGAAACGGAAAACTGCCTAAGCCCGATTTAATAGAACACTACCCTAGTAAAAAGATCAAAAGAGTGTTTTTAGCACAAAACGATAACGGCTTTTATTTGAAAAACCAAAATGGAAAAGCTAAGAATACTGAAACGAGTTCAGAGTTTTACAAAGAGAGAATGATGAATTTCTTGAACAAATGCGCCTCCATGGAAGGTGTTTCTAATCCAGAGAGAACGCCCAGTGTACAATCAGAGTTCGTATTGAACACAATACCAGAAGTAGCGAATGTCGAAGTCAATTTAGACAAGAGTCCAGCTAAAGACACCAGCGTGACACCTGTAAGTTGGGGCGACTCCCCAGACCACACAATATACAACCAAAACAACATAAACTTTGATAAGATCTTCAATTTCAAGAGAAAAATCGACAACAACAACAAAGAAAGCGAAAAGTGCGATGAGGCGAGTGAAAATGTGCATCAGAATAATTAACTGAGCGTGACTTTATTGAAACATTTAGTGGATTGGATGGAAAGTTGCTGCAGATTAATACGACCTTTGGTAAACGATGTTAGGGTCGTTGCGTTGCTTTTGTGTGTTAATTCAAGTGATTATAAACCTTTTTTGCTGTGAAAATTTGGATTACCTACTTACCGAGAGATTTTAGTTTGTTATAATATGCTAAGGTTTAATCCTCGCCCTGTTTAGTATTCAGTTTTCCTTTAGAATATAGATATGTAAATATAAGATTAATTATAGATACAACATGTCGCCTTTCCATGTTGTGAAAAGAGATTAATAACATGATATATAAAAATTACGTTAAATTGTAAATGAATTAATTAATCATTCACTAAGGCCCGTATTACAAAATGACAACTAAGTGTTGATCTTTACTTGAGTACAGTTAGAAAGGGATATCGCTATGTGCTTTAAAAAGCGACATCCCTTTCTAACTATGCTCAAGACTAGATCAATCACTGAGAATCTTACTGTAATACGAGCCTAAGTATTTATTAGTAAATCAACACGTGGATGGTCAGTCACAGTAGAGAATTATGTGAAGACCATTCATGTTCCATTCCATAAAAGAATGAGCAAAGGAATTATAAAAATTCTTTTTCTTTTTTTATCTTTTGTACGACAATCCAATTTTTTCATAGGTTAGTTAAAGGTGTCAACTGCATTTTTTTATTATTAATTTTTGTTCCATTGTTGTTTATAAAACCATTTTTTTAATGTAACATAGAGAACTGTGTAAAAAAAATTGTTACCTTATTATCTTTCTCTTTTGATAGCTATAGATAAAATTTACATCATCTGTTCAGGGAATCACAAATGGTAAATAACACCTACTTTTAACCCAATTTCGTAAACAAAAAAAAGCTTCCTTCCATTTCACACATTAATTTGATTATACATAACACCATTAGATGGCAAAATATCAGAATGATCTTTTGTTTTTATTCAGTTATCCCTAAGTTTGCTGGGTCATCTGTTATCTATGAAAGTAGAAAAAAAATATCCAGCCTTATAAATAACCTTGGCCGAGTTGAATTTTTTATAGCAATATTTCCTTTAGACTTAAATTTGCACAAGTTTGGCTATGTTTATCTTTGTTTATCGAATTACAAAAGTCATTTCAATGATGTAAACAAGACACTACATTAACGATATCATATCGTTGCACTACATGACCAATCCCAGCTTAACCATCTCTCAAACAAACAGTTACCAGAAAACTTTTAAAAAAACTGAAAGCGCCGAAAAGTTAAAAATAATAACCTTTGTCGGTGCCAGTGCCAGGACCAATCCAAGTAGTAAATGGGAACAATTGGAACCCAAATATTAATTAGACTAAAGATGAAAAATGTATATCCATAATTTTTATTTCTCGGCGGTTTTTTTTTATAAAAAAAGTTTTTATTTTATAATTTTTTGGGACTATAATTTTTGTAATATACAACTTAGAATCAAAGTCTGTGAGTGAACATTCACCCCTGGGTAGGTGTTTTTCCTAAATTAATATGGAACCAACTTCGATTAACAATTCTATAGATAAGGTTGCATACAAAATCAAAGCTAAAAACTGTCCGCATATGTTTAAATTTATGCAGCTACATTCGATTCCCAATGAACAAAGATAAATGTTTTAAGAAGTTGAACCTAATAACAGCAATCTTACAAAGGCATAAGGTTACAAATAACAAAATGTTGCTTCACACATACGACCTTTTATCTTCTAAAACGAACTCCTGTTCCTTTTATAAATTATATCTGATTCTTGGAAAAAAAATGATAAAGATGAAAGGAAAATGTGAAATCAACCTTATGAAACACAAAATAAAATATTTTTACCAGTCACTGGCCAGCGAGTTACTTCGTTTTGTATTGACCGAACTAATTTAAAATAAGATCTCACGCATCAAGTGAAGATATATTTAACGAGACGGATTTAACACGCTGACCCGTTATCTATAGAATTGTTGATCGAAGGAATCCAACTTCGGGGTATACCCTTTCCAATAAAAAAAGAAATATCAAAATCAGAGTACTATGTAAAAAGTTAGGCGTGGTCTTAAATAAAAAATAAATAATTTGTAAAAAACATCGAAGTGAGAACCTCCTTCGTTTTTTCGTCGGTAAAATATACCACTCGTATTCAACTGGATAGATATAAAAATTAAAAGTATAATAAAAATGATGAAAATAAACGAAATTCTACATAAATCGTCGTCAGTTAAATTATCAAAATAATGGACACCTATTTTTTTATTTTGATAATCAACCAATAAAAGACAAACTTAAGCGCGTCGTAGTTTGGGAGTCGAGTTCAGTGACGTCACTTCTAAGTAAAAAAATATATATAAATGCAGACATTTTAAATCAATATGGGATTATGTGAAAAAAGGAAAAACTTGTTTGCAATACTTTTTTATATAATCTACCTTATCGACAAAAAACAGGGTGACCATCATCCCTATTAAATAATAAACGTTTATTTCTTTTAAATTGTTACACATTTAGTTAACAAATTATATTAGCCGTGTTGTAAGTAATGACGCCGAAGTATTGGCGCCTTCTGACTTAATATCAATACAATCTCGCGAGAATAATTTAATTTCTATCTATAAATCTATTAACAAATTTTTGTTCTTATACTTATGTATTGTAATAGATTTATTTTTAAGTTGAAATCACAGTCTCAAGTATTGAATTTTCGAGCACATGAAATGGCTCTTTTTAAATCTTTCAAAGCTCAAGTTATATTAATTTATTAACAACAATTGTTGTTTATTTGTAAAAGAATCCGATTGATCACTGGGAATGTGAAATACTGTAAATATTATGATGATACATTATGTTATGCAAGTACAACGATAATATCGTTGGTTGTTATGACCCGATTACACTTGGACGTTAGCCCGAATACGAGTACCAATGGAAATGAAAAGTCATTTATTCGGTCTAGGCTGTTACAAGCACTCGTGAAGGTCAAGAAGCTACGCCATCGGTTCGCAAATCCACGGCGGGAGACCTTGTACTGAGAAGAACCGGCAAGAAACTCAACAAGGGCTGTTTTTTTCTCCCTGTATAGTTATATACAGAGTCGTCAAGTTGAAAAATGACTTCAGAGATACGTGTCAAGTCACCTTCCATTACATCAATTAGAATATAAATATATAGTTACAATAAATTTTATAGTTAACATTATATTTAGTATATCGCATCGCAGTGATGCAAAAAAATCATTTTTTCAGGAGAAGCGTTTAAAACTTTAACATCCCAAAACATACAATATTTAAAGTTTTTTTAATTTTTTTGGATGAATAGCTAAGCTGTATAAGCTTTTCATCACGTAAAAATCTTTAAATATTGTATGTCGGATGTTAAAGTTTTAAACGTTCATCCTGAAAAAAAAATTTCTTTTGCATAAGTGCGGTATAGGAAGCGGCATTAGATAGGTACAATATTACCGGGAATTCGGGTAAATGACTAAGTGTAAATGAACGGAGTTGAGTACACCCATATTCGGGTAGATTTCCTTTTGTTTACCCGACACCGTCTTCCAGCCCGTATTACAGTGTAAATATTGCTTTAGGTGCCCGAATTTGAGTAATGTCTTTCGCGCCCCCAATACGGGCTAACGACCAAATGTAATCGCGGCATTTTAGTAGTCATACACATTACTTAAATGAGTTAAATGACACCATTTACAATTTTTGTCGAATGCAAAAATTACTTTTTAATGACGCACGAGAAAAACTGATGCTGAATGCTTTAGGTAAAGAAAAACAGCAAAAAATGAAATACAAAACAAATTTTCTTGTATCTTGGGTACCTATTCTTGTAACTTTCAAAAAATACCTTTCTGTAGCTTGTCAACTCGCCCCGCATGCAGGCCTTATTCGTATATACGAATAAGGCCTGCATGCAGTTCATATGAACTAGGTAGGTATTTTACATTAGAGGTCATTAAAAGAAATATTCAAACTGATTGTTTTTTTTTATTGAAGTGCAAACTTCTTTAGCGGCGTTGTGCAATTTTTTTGTATGGGTAAAAAATGTTAAACTCGCGTCAGGACACGTGACCTAATCGAAAATTCGTAAACGAAAACAATAAAATTGGAAAGGTTGTTGACTTTCAATATATTGGACGAAACATTGTATTGTTTTATTTTATCGTATTATAATAATAAGTCTCTATCTAGGACGTCCAGGTGGCAGCTTTATTGCGAAGAAAATGCATTTTTTTAACAATAGATGTCGCTAGGTGAGCTTAAATGTGATTCATGTAAGTTGATTTTTCTGAGAGATAAACTTTTGAATATAATATAAATTGTCATGTTTGTGTACGATAGCGCAATAAATAAATATTGTATTCTACCACATAAATGATATTATTTTTATACTGATAATTAAAGCAATACGTGCAAAATAATTCCCGAACCATTCCAAAATATCAAAAATGCACAACGTGAATATTCAAGTTTTCACTTCTGCCGGCACTCCCGGAGTGCATCCCGTCGTTTTTTTTTCTTTATATGCCTTGCTTACTCATCTCGAAATTATGTTTTATTTTTTAATGTTGATCTTAATATATTATATTGATGCTGATGATTGAAAATTGATGTGAATACTCAACGATATATTATGAAAATAATTGCTCTCTATTTCTGTATGTTTTGAGTGATCACTTTACTAAATAAAGCCTATTTTGCAAAATATGTTCAATAAATTAATACCACGTTTATTCAGTTTTGTGGAGTCTTTCATTTGTGTCTTGATTAATGGGGAGCTAATAAAGCAATATATATGTTAATAATGATTGCTGATAATGATTTGTATTATAATAAAATAAGCGAGTGTGCTTATGACCACACGACTGAAGTGAATCTTCTTTGGCTCTAATAATCTGAAAATCATAAAATTAACCTGAAGATTTGTTGATAGAAAAAAAAACCACCAATCCGGACTGGGTCCGTTATCACCCATCAATCCGCGCTGGGTCCGTTATCACCCACCAATCCGCGCTGGGTCTGTTATCACCCACCAATCCCCGCTGGGTCCGTTATCACCCACCAATCCGCGCTGGGTCCGTTATCACCCACCAATCCGCGCTGAGTCCGTTATCACCCACCAATACGCACTGGGTCCATTGTCACACACCAATCCGCGCTGGATCCGTTATCACCCTCCAATCCGCACTGGGTCCATTATCACCCACCAATCCGCGCTGGGTCCGTTATCACCCACCAATACGCACTGGGTTCATTGTCACCCACCAATCCGCGCTGTGTCCGTTTCACCCACCAATCCGCGTTGGGTCCGTTATCACCCACCATCCGCGCTGGGTCCGTTATCACCCATCAAGCACCAGATTCATGTATTTTACGACGGGTATTGTTTATTGTTTACTGATTCGTCACCG